GCCAAGTGGTTAGGGCGCTCGACTCGCATTCAGCCGTGGAGGCGTTATAATGTGACGGTCAATCCTACTAATCGTTGGTAAAAGAGTAGCCCAAGAGTTGGCGGTGGGTGGTGATGACTAGCTGCCTTCCCTCTAGTCTTACACTGCTAAATTAGGGACGGCTAGCGCAGATAGCCCTCGTGTAGCTTTGCGCGAAATTCAAAAAACAAACAAACAAACAATATATAGCTCATAAATCTGTATTTTATCTTAAGCTGATAATACTTGCTGCAAAGATTTATATTCTACTTTTCCACGAACTTAAATCCGGATTTCATAAAATTTGAGGTACAATATGAGGTGGATAAGACGTGTCAGAAGTTACATAACTTAAACCAATAATGAAGAGTTGTTCCTCACTATTCCTGTCTTGACAAAAGTATCCCTCAGTAATATAAGCTGTATGAATCGAACTTTTACCTTTCTGATGACCACTGATACTTTTACCTTGTCATATAATAAATAAACGTCGCATTAAAGTTAATGATGTTTTTATCACCGATAGTCCGTTATATCTGATCAGTGGCGGTATTGATGACACTTGTTTCACTGAAAAAAGTGAAGAATATTTGAAAACAGACTCCCTCGCGAGACAACTGGTGATCCAATCATTGACAACAGTACATTACACGTGTTTTATTTACTCTTTTAGGACATTTGCAGAATGTTTCAAAAGTTTTGATACAGCAGGTGACATTGTTTATTGCATATTCATGAGCCTGAACACAGTCACGATACACACATAGTTTGAACCTACCTGGCACAATATGACATGTGAGATAATAAGTACTATTAGCCCTTAACATATCCCCAGATTTACAATGAGCAAAGGAGTGAGGTTAAGTGAGCATGGAGACCACATAGAACATTGTGTATTTAAAGAACTTTTTTTACTACGATTTTCTTCATTCTGAGCAGGTGAAAAACTGACCGAATATTTCTTGGCGGAATATCGCGTGGACTGTTATAATTATCCGAGTATATATTTCTCTCTAATTTATTCGTCTTTAATTATTTTTCAGTCTCATGACTAGAGAAAAAGAAGTGTATATATACTTATATATTCCGAATATAATTCTATCTCAGGTTCTTTTCAGCGGTAACAAATCATTTCTTTGCTGTTTCTATTGATTTAATTTGGCTGCAGTAAACAACTATCTGAATTACATTTTCCTTTCATATGTTCTGCTAGTGTTGTTTTGCTTAAGAATAATTAATATTACGTTATTTGTGTATCAGTGTTGCTGTTCGTAAAATTATGAGTTAGTATTTAACATACTTTTTTTATTGAAACCTTTTCCTTATTTCTGTTTTATTTACTTTTTTAATGGGGGCCACTCTGTGTAATTGTTATGTTAATAAAGTATTCTTATTCATATATGTTGAATAAATAACCATAAAATATCATGGAAGTGTAATCTAGTAATCAGTAAAACAAGTAACCTACTAACCATTAGCTTAATAAGAGGCATCTTAAGTGTAAAAAGTCTTTCCATACGTTCATAGCCTTTTCTTAAGAAAAACGCATAACCAAACTTTGTGCATTGGGCACTTTCTGAAGTGTTACGAACTAAAAAGTGACATTCATGTTCAGAGGTTTATTGTAATTCTCACTTACCAGAAAAAAGCAGCTTAAGGAATCCCGGTGACAAACTTCAATTTCATGCATTTGTTGGGCAAACGAAGCTGGTTCCAATATGGAATCGACGTCACTACCTTGTTGGATGTCTTCCAGTTCCACGTCAATTCCCAAACCAGAGCAATGTCGCTGGAGCTCTGGAAACACCACTTCGTGCAACTGGCGACGCTCATGTTCGAAATCTAAACAATCAAATTTAAGAAAATAAAGCTAAATTTAAAAAAATAAAATGGTCGATAACAGATACCTGTTGAAAATGAGGAATAAAGCTTTGCTTAGAATAATAGTAGTTGTACTGAACAAATACGGGTCTTTGGACATTCTGAGGAAAAGTTAATAAACATTTTCTAAACTAACGTATATTCGTAAAATAGTAAATTATGTGAAGAAATTATAGAAATATTTCTTTATGCTTGGTGATATGGTTTTGACATGAGCATATATTAGAAAACAACAACGTAAAATTTAAGTTTACTTGTATTTAAGAAGGCATACTTTTGCGTTTATTTAGCGTTTTTTAATTCTATATGCGACTTGCCAAGTAGGACCACATCTTAAAATAATTATTCTACGACAAACAAATAAAAAATAGGGCTTTGACCAAGGTTCTAATATTATGAAGACATAAGGCCACCGGGAGGTAATATAGAAGGTCAGATTCGAACACCGATACCTTCATGTCACTCCCGGAGGATATGTACCAAGACTGGTGACAACCGGTCCAGATGTTCTCCAGTTACAATTGGACACACACACACACACACACAGACTCTAGTCAGATAATGGCTTAAGATTAGTAAGAGATGTACGGATATCTTATTTTTACTAATGTAATTGTTTATATGAATACATTTCTAGTTATATACGGTCTTTTTGTCAGTGAGATATTTAAGAAGGTCACATAAAACTACGACACATTTAAGCAGTAATTTTTAACTACAAATACTGATATCATATTTATAGTTATATGCACTTAATTGAATATTCTTGAAGGTATTAACTAATGCGTTAAGCTTAATACATTTTCTCTACGTTTGACATCATGTTCCTCTGCAAGAGGCGTTAATTAAGTTATTATATAGCGATATTTGGAAAATGAGAAACGTTCCATGCTAAATTTCTCATTGGTTGGTTGAAGATATGGAGAAAGTAGGGTGAGCCTTTATAGCATAAAGCCACGTATAGATTAGTGTGTAATCCCGAATGAATATTCTCTGTTCGGTCCAGCGAACATAGTGTGAAAAGCCAAGTAAAGTTTGTTTCAAGGTGAAAATGTCAAGATATAACATTCATGGCTTCAATGCAGAGAATATTCATGCTGGAGTGAAATTCCAACTCGACTGTTATTAAGTTTTATTACAAGATAGAGTTTAATTAAAGCAATGCAAGTTAGAAATATATTGAACAGACAGCGAATCAGGATCAAGCTAGAATAAGTAATATCATTAAGAGAATTAATATCTAGATCTAGAATGTTTCGTGAAAGTTAGGGATAGTTTATCAGAAAGATGCTGTTTACTTAGGTTTCGGTGGTTCAGTATAATAAGATTTGGTAAACTTTGAAACATACATTTTTTTCGTCTCATTGATTCCCATCACAAAATGTACTTTACTTATAAATTATCGTTTCAAGCACTGAAGAACATCAAATTTTATTCTTAACTCCAGCCTAATGAATCTTTATAACGTTTCATTATTGAGTCACGACATTCAATATTCTTATTTCGTTTGTTTGTTTTTAGTAAAGCACAAAGCTACATAATGAGCTATCTGTGCCCTGCTCACAACGAATATCGAAATCTGGTTTCTAGCCCTGTAAGTTCGCAGACATACCGCTGTGCTATTGGGGGACATTCTTATTTCGAGCCTTAACATAGTGGGTTAGCGGTAGACTTACCGACTTGCAACGCTCCCAGGCTCGATTCACCGCGAACAGAGCAGAGATAGCCTATTGCGTAAATATTTTTAATTTGAGCCTTATAGTCCCCTGGTGGGTTAGAGGTAAGTTTACGGATTTGCAACTCTAAAATCCGGGGTTCAATTCCCCCTAAACATAACACAGAAAGTCCATTGTGTAACTTTGTGCTTAACTGCAAACAAATAGATAAACAGTAGAGCTCAAACAAATTAAATGTTTTTTTTTTTCACGAACAATCTCCAAGTCCTTCTGAAGTACATTACAATCTTAAATAACAACAGTGTGTTGATTTTGTACCACAAAACTCTAGAATAATATTTTTTAAACTACCGCGTTATCATTTTCGAACAAATTACATTAATAATAATCAAGGAATATTATTTATTTTAAATACAATCAATTTGCTAGACACGTGCGTTGACAAATCCAGTACACATCTCATTAAGTGTCGGTCATTATAGAGAGAGTGTACGATTTTCTTACAATTCATGTAAATTAAGACTCGATTTTTATTAAAAGCTTGGGTAGACAACTAAAATACCTTCAGTTCTTTCCAACATGTCCTCTTATTAAAGAAGAAATGGTTTAACTTTGTGGAGAGAACAAAGACTTCTTGGAATTGTTTAGGCGGCTGAAATCTCTAAAATTCCCTCTGCTGACCAATATGTTATGTCCAGTTTTGATTTGAAATCTCTATATACCAATATTCCCGTTGATGAAACTTTAAATGTAATCGTGGACCTTCTGACACTGAATAGTATCTTGTCCTGTCCTCCTATTAATATTGCGTACAGAGCCAATGTAGTGAAGAAAAAAAAAATGTGGGTTTGTTTGTTGTGAAGTGCAAAGCTACACAATGGGCTATTTGTACTCTACCCATCGCGGGTATAAAAGCCCGATTTTATAGCATTGTAAGCCCTACTATTTATAGCTGAAACACCGTGTGTGTGTGGTGGGGGGGGGGGTCAAAGCTAGTATTTGTATGCCTTTCTATTAAGGAGCCAGAGAGGCTTAAATATTCAATATAAAATAAAATGTGTAATATAAAACTTTTGTATGAAACTATTGAGATCAGTTTAGATCGCAGCATTACCACAAACCTTGCATCCTTCCTCAGCACTGCCTTCGTATAATTTCTGGAAAGGGTATTTTGAACTAATCCACAAATAACTCGGTTCATGTTTCCTTTTTTTTCCCCTATCTCATAAAGGCAGCAATCCATGTATCAAGTTACTTGACATTTATTTCCGACATCAAGTTTATTTCATAACATGTAATAAAGAATGAATAAAAACTATCTGATTTTTTCAAGTAGTAAAAAAATTATTATTTACTTTGAAGCTAAGATTTAGAGATTTTCTGGCTTTAATGACTATATATTATTGTTGGCGTTCTATGTCAAATTATATTATTTCAAGTCGTTATTGATGTCCAAAAGGAAAAAAAAAACTTATTTGACATTTTAAACGAATTAAGCAAACTCTAGAAAAATTGCTGTATTAGGAAAAATAAGAAAGAGCAATTTGTATAAAACTAATGGAATAAAACGACTATATATTTTTTTAAAATTCGTACTTATACGTAGTTACCAGAGCATAGAGAGACTTTACTTGTAAGTAAGATAATCTCCAAGTTTTAAATGTAATTCTCGTCTTTCTATGTTTTATACAATTCGGAGGTTTTAAACAAATTAAAAATCCGCAAGAAAATGTGTTTTCTTTTGTAACAAAGCCTAGAAAAACATAAAAGCTGAAACATTTTAGTTTTTTTTGTCGTTGTTGCTTTTTGTAGCCTGATAATTTAAACATATTTCACTATTAACTATTTAAATATGTATTTAAATACATTGTTTTTTTTAACAAAGCAAGCGAAGTTCAGCCACGTTAAAATCACACATTTTATGTTTGTTTTGGTTAAGCACTGAGCTACACAATGGGCTATCTGTGCTCTGCCCAGTACGGGTATCGAAACCCGGTTTTAACGCATTTTAGTTACATTGAAAGGTAGTTATGGTAAAAAAAGAAATGCTTTTTTTTTCTATTTCTGATGTTTCTCTTTTATCAATATTACGTTACAAATAATAATAATAACATTTCTTCTTCAGCTAAGTCTATAGCTACTGTAGAAATGTTCCACTGCTGTTCATGTTATAGTTTATACTTCCATGAAGTTTTTTTTAGGCTTAAGTGTATAACAGTTCTTCATCTTTCTTCCAAACGTTTCATGAAATTGAAATATTACATCATACATATATCAAATTACATAATGTGTTTTTTTTATGACCAAAGACTTTATTTAGTCAAACCATATGTTTGTAAGCACGTAGCTCTTTGGTAGTAGCTTTTTTTAGAAGGGTAAAATATACATTTTGGCATGACCATTATGACTTAATCTGCGATATTTTTCTCAGATCAGTAAAATTCTATTCTTTAAATTAACCGCTGAGAAAGTACAGTGTTAATTAACGCATCTTGCACCAAAAGTATCTTATCATAATCAATTATTCTTCATTAATTAATATATATTTACTCTGTTTTTAGCTAAATTGACCCCCCTTTCGTAAAATATTAATTTCCAGCTGTGCTCAACTGACCGAATAGCAAGACAGACAGATAGACAAATTGGTTCTTAAAGTTATGATAGTATTTTCAGAGATTCCATTTGATTTGGATTACTGGCAGCACTACGTATAATTATGCAACTCATTTATTCAAACGAGAAGTCTGAGATCTTATAATGCTAAAAATCGGGCGTCGATATTCGCGGTGAGCAAGCTTTTTGTTTAATAACAAACAGCTAGATGTATAAGTGTGATATCAGTTAGAAGCTGAATTGAAGAAACGGTTTGGCCCAACGAAAACATCATTTTGAATTATATAAAAATCAAATTTATAACGACTGAAAAGAAAAGTACATGCCTTGTAGGTTGTTTAAAATACGTGCATTGGCAATATGTTATTTCTTACCTTAATAGATAGAACTAAAATTTTAAATTAACTATATTTTTATGAGTTTATTAAACACATGAACACATTTTTGAAGAAAGTATTTCAACAGCGTTATACAATGAGTACAAGTATGCTTGCGTTACGTGATTTTTTTCCGCCTTAAAAGCAAATAAATGACTTTTAAGAATCCGCGCTTTTATTATTTGATAAAAATGAGCTAGAATTTTACCAACACTGTTTTTTGTATTAAATACGTTATAACTTGGTATGCTTATTTCGGATAAAAATAAAGATAAAACAGGATTGTTTGTTTGAA